AATGGGTTAAACTTGTGAGTATATAGTTTCCTGATTTGTAGGAGAATGATTCAATAAATTAGCACTTTATATATTTGAAATGATTATTGAGTTCCCGTTTTATTAAATGTTGCAGGAAATAAAGTAACTAAGTTGCAAAACTTAAGGATGTGACAATAGTTACCTGGTGATTGAAAGTGATTGAATCGAAGGGTAATAGAGGTAATTCACTTTATAAAAAAGAGTGGGAAAATTCGATTGGCGTGGGGCTAATTGAATGTCACGTGTACTAAATCTACTTATTTATTAGATTAGGGGATATGTTTTAGATATACTTTTCTTATATATATATATATATATATATATATATATATATATATATATATATATATATATATATATATGGCTGAGATTCAATAGAGAACCATAATTAACCAAGAAACCTAAGAACCAATCTTTTTTTCAACTTCTAGAACTTATTTTTTATCAAAAAAACAACTAAAAATACAGAAATTCATAACTTTTTATCCTTTTTCCAATGATATCAAATTCCAAAAAAATCGTCAAATTCACAATGTGAATCTAAATTCACACAGTGAATCCGAAAAAAAATATATTTAACATTCACAATGTTATGTTATGAATTTAGATATTTTTAGTTTTTTTTTTTCAATAAAGAATAAGCTCTAGAACTTAAAAAAAAAATCGGTTCCTTGGGGAACCAATAATTATGGTTCTCTATTGAACTTTTCCTTATATATATATATATATATATATATATATATATATATATATATATATATATATATATATTGTAGCGCCCCGACTCTCAGGTAGTACTTTAAATATAATATTTTTGGGTTTTGGCCCTACTCGACGAGTTGGTTGCCCTACTCGTCGAGTAGCAGCGGGTTGGATCGCGAGTTAAGTGATCAACTCGGCGAGTTCTTTGTGGGACTCGGCGAGTAGGAGCTGGAAAATGAAACCCTAATTCCCGAGGTTGCACCCCCTATTTAAAGAAGCTCAAGCCTCTTTCAGTTCCTTGGCAGCCCCTTTTGCATCTCTAACTCGTGTGTGTATGTGCCTTTGTGTGTTGAAGCTTTGAGAGAAGATTTTGGTGTAGAAGTTTGGGGAAAACAAGCGATTGAGGCAAGGAGCTTGGAGGAGATCCGAATTCTTCTATTGTAGACCTCTCTTGGGAAGGTATTAAACCTTTACCCTCAGTTATTTCAGTCTAGACCTTATCTTTGAATGAGTTTAGGGGTTTTATGAGGGTATCAAGTTGGTATGACAATCTATGGGCTAGATCTGAAGTTGTAACTTCAGATCTGGACCCTCCTTGGAGCATACAAGCATAAAGTTCCAGCTTTAGTCAAGATTAAGGTTCCCTTGGTCCATGAACACCCATTAAAAGTTTGGTTTTGGCATTAGGAGCTTGTGAAGCAATGCATGCACGTAAAGTTTGCAACTTTATGTGATAAGCAGGCCTAAGGAAGTTGGATCTACAATTTGGGGCCTTGCCATGGCTTAAAGACGTCTGCATGTTAAAATGACTGAAAGGAATCGGCGATTCATATGAAGATGTGCATTGAACTCGACGAGTTGGATGAACAACTCGGCGAGTCAGATGAAGGAAACAGTGGACTCGACGAGTTGTTTGAACAACTCGGCGAGTTAGATAAAGATGGCCATGAAACTCGACGAGTTGAAGAAAAACTCGGCGAGTCGGATGAGTTTAACCAAGGATATGGTTGTGTGTATACCCGTCGAGTTGCAAGGAGGAAACTCGACGGGCGGCCTTAAGGATTGATCGGGATTCGAATGAACTCGACGAGTCACCCCGATGACTCGGCGAGTTGAGGTCAACATGGACTGTTGACCTTGACCGAGGACTTTGACCTTGAAAAGGAATTTACTAGGGGGTTACGGAGTGCCTTATAAGGGTAAGGACTTATGAGTATATTGTGCTATGGTTATAGGTGGTGGAGCCTGTGTCAAGTAATCCGATAGTTGGAGTTTACCTTTCGAGTCGACATCGGCGAGGTGAGTTATCCTCACTATATCGGTAGGGTCTACGGCACCAAGGCCGACCCTTAGAGTGTTATTGTTATGGTATGCTGCATGTGATTGTGATCTGTTCGATTGGAATCAGAGTATACAGTATGATATGCTCTTATGATCCTTAGGGATTGGTATGTTAGTGACCTGTTAGGTCGATGCTCTAGTTACGAGTGAACTCTATGATTGATGGTCTGTGAGATAGATATGTTTGCTATTTGTATATGCCAGTATATGATAGTATGAGTACATGGTTATTTGCTTGTTGGTTGGGTTGAGGCGGTCCTGCTTTGTGCTGAAGGCCAACACACCCTCTGAGCGGTCCGGGAAGACTATAGGCCCACGTGGCGGACCAGTCATGCCGAAGGCTCAGGATAGATCCAGTCAGATTGTAGGCCCAGTAGGGCGAACCAGTCCGGCCGATGGCCCAGTATGTATGTTGTTTGATTTATCGTTATGGTTATGGTTTCTGCCAGCGTGGTATTGGTATTTTGGGGGTAGCTCACTGCCCTCGGGCTTACAGTTTTCAGTTTATTGTTTCAGGTACTTCAGGTGATCGAGGGAAGGCGAAGGCGTGACCGTACCGCTCCTCATCCTCATGATCTGTTTTGGGACACTCTGATGATAAATGAATTGGAAATGTTTTGTAAAAACAATTACTATTTGACTCTTTTGTTAGTATTAAAAGTTTAAATTTAGCGTAAATTTTATGGGTTATATATATATATATATATATATATATATATATATATATATATATATATATATATATACACACAAATAAAATAACACCTAATTAGAATTAGTAATATACAAATAATTAATTTGGTTACAATTTTAAAAATATTATATTTTATAGAGTTTTTATACAAAAATGCAAATAAATAAGTAAAAATCTAATAAGTTGAAAGGTATTTTTGACAACCTATATAAATAAATTAAAAAAAAAGTATTGTATGGTATATATTTTTAGGTGTTAAAAATAATGTAGGTGGGAGATGATATATTATTTGGAGGGTGACACAATAAAGAAGAAAGTTAGGTGACAATCGGGATCGTCATAGTTTGGGCCCCTTATTTTTTTTTTTTTGTTATTATATATATATATATATATATAAAGTTTGTTAAATTATTGTTAGGGATAATGTCACCGTAACACAATGAACTTTTGTGATTTATCCAGTTTAACTATTTATTTATTTATTTATTTATTTTTTGCGCATTAGGTCATCTAACTTTTACTATACATGTCAATTAGGTCATTATCATTAGTTTTTAACCATTTCTTTGTTAATTAGTTTTCTAAATTACACGAATGCCCCCCATGATTTAAATTTCTTTCGTAATTGGTCGTTATCAGCATGTTTTAAATCACACGACTAAAACTACCACAATTCTGAAACTCTAGGGACCAAAGTGTAACATTGTCATTATGAGAACAAATTGTTGATTATTGTTATTTTTATGATTATAAAAATGTGAACACAAAAAAGAAATCATATTGACATTAAGGAAATATCATATAAAAGAATGAAGGGAAAATGACTTATCAAGGTAATTAAGTTTTCGGTATGTTTACATCTGGGTAATTAATTTTTTTTTTACACATCTAGGTAACAAACTTGTTGGAAGTGTACACATATGACCATTATGACCTGCTGTAGCAGGTTAAATCCTAGATGTGAACACTTTCAACAAGTTCGTTACCTAGATGTGTACAAAAAAAGTAGTTACCGAAATATGAACAAAACGAAAAGTAAGGCTAAGTTACACGAATGGTCCCTGTGGTTCGGGGGAATTTGTGTTTTTGGTCTGTAACTTATTTTTTAACTCGGATGGTCCTATTGTTTATTTTTATTGCACGTTTGGTCCCCGTCTTACCTAAAAAGACTATTGTGTCCTTATTAATTTATTTTTTAATTAATTTTCTTATTTATGTATTTATTTTTTATATATTTAAAAAAAAATAATAGACTCCACATATATGTATCTCCTCACCGTAAACCTGAAACCACATTTGAGAAATTTAATTTGGGTCTCACCGATCACCATCTTCTTGCTCGTCCTCCTCAACTTCTATTTCTTTTCCATCTTTAGTGACATCGATGTCTTCATCATGCTTTTTTTTGGTCCTTCAACTCTAGCGAACCAACACCATAACCCACTGTCTCTTCATCTTTAGTGGGTTCACTGGGTTGTGGTGTTAATTCGACGGAGTTGAAGGACCGAAAAAAGAAGGGATGCTGAAGACGTCGATATCACTAAAGATGGAAAATAAATAGAATTTTAGGAGGATGAAAGTTGTGATGGTGAGGAGATACAGATATGTAGGGTCTGTTAATTTTTTTTAAATATATAAAGAATAAATACATAAATAAGAAAATTAATTAATAAGGGCACAATAGTCTTATTAGGTAAGACAGAGACCAAACGCATAACAAAAATAAACAATAGGGATCATCCGAGTTAAAAAAATAAATTAATTAAAAAATAAACAGTAGGGATCATCCGAGGAGATACAGATATGTGAGGTCTATTATTTTTTTTTAATATATAAAAAATAAATACATAAATAAGAAAATTAATAGTAGGGACCATCCGAGTTAAAAAAATAAGTTAGGGACCAAAAACATAAATTCCTCCAAACCATAGGGACCATTCGTGTAATTTACTCTTACTTTTCGTTTTGTTCATATTTGGGTAACTATTTTTTTGTACACATCTAGGTAACAAACTTGTCAAAATGTTCACATCTACGATGTAACCTGCTACAGCAGGTCATAATGGTCATATGTGAACACTTCCAACAAGTTTGTTACCTAGATGTGTACAAAAAAAAAGATAATTACCCAGATATGAACATACTGAAAAGTTAATTACATTGATAATTCATTTTCCCAAGAATGAAATCCTAAATTCTCCGGGTAGTTGTTGACAGTGGCCTCTGTTTCAATGTACTCGTCATGTTTATAATCATCTCGCTACTATCCACGCTCTTCTGTACCGATGATTTCCTACTCTTCAATGGAGAAACCAATCTACTCGCCAATCGAGACGGTGAAAAAGTCCTCCGCAGCTTTGCCGCCGTCGATACCTTCTTAAGAGGTTAAATCGACTTCTTCACGGAGGCCATCCTTGGCGGTGACGTCAACTTCTTTTTTCCGGTGAAGCCAATCTAGTCACCAACCTCGATGGCAAAAACGACCTCCCCAGCTTTGCTGACGTGGAGATGTTCTTAGACGATGACATCGCTTTCCTCTTCGCGCTGGCCGTTTTGGGTCTGGTTGGAGATACAGAAAGTGGTGGACTGCGAATATTTACTTGAAACTTAGCCACGGCGGCAGGAGGCGGTGGCGTCTTGATTAGAAACTTGTGAGGGGTGTTTTGATGGGTTCTTATAATCACCGGCGACCTTGTTGAATGGAAAAGGGGTTCAGGAAGATCACGGTTTTTCTAGCCCAAGGTCTGTTCTTCGGTGACACCCGATTCGCCGAAAACTGACGCTTTTCATTCTCGATTTCTTTTTTGGGTGGTGAACCGTAAACTTTGAAATTAATATGTGACTTTGCTCTTTCAAGTAAAGGAGAATGTAGATCTGATTAGATTATCCGTTTCTCTCTCTTTCTCCGTGACCGGAGCTCGGTGGTTTCTGGGTTTAACCTCGAATTTCGTCTGGAATCAGTCACCGGAGTTTTCGGATCGCCGTTGGCCCGGTGGTAATCGTTTTGGCTTTCGTTTCAACAGTCGTCACGATTTCTCTAGCAAATTGAGTGACATTTGATTAGGCTTTTAAGTATCAAAAATAACTTAATACCAATAAATTATGAAGAACAATGAATTTATCAGATTCAACATATTTGATCGATTTTGAAAGAGCGTCGGCAAGTTGGGATAGGAAAGAATTTAGGGAAGACGAATAGACAATGACAATGTTGCACTTTGATCCCTATCTAGGCAGTTATAGCGGTCCAAAATCAAATATCGGTCAAGGGCCGATATTTGGGATATAGGTTATCACGGTGAGATATCGGTATTTTTATATCATGCATAATTAATATATATAAACATAAAACATATATAAAAGTAATATAAAAAGTCAAAATTCAAAAATAGTCAATGTTTGAAACATAATCTTACGTAAGCAATGGAATCTTCATCCAAGTCCACATCAACCAAGGCATCCAATTATTTTATCTAGATTATCCACATCAACTCTAATATCATCATCATCATTTAAGAATTATGTACTTAACACATCAACATGATCAAACCAATAGAAACTAGCAAGTTAACACTTAAGTATGTAACAATTAAAATAACAATAAGATCGGTTAATACTTAAAACATGAGTCTATGACCTAAAACTAACAATTAAGTACTTAACATAATAGCAGGTTCAGTTAAGTTAAGTCTGTAACGACGTAAATTTTCAAAACAATTTTTCATTCACATGATAATCACAAAACATAATGTATCACTATGTCATAACAAAACATGTTCCCAGAATCTCAATAACATAAACTCCAAAAGTGTGTATGGATCACATCGGCGCCTTCTCGTGTTCCTCGGTAGTACCTGAAACACATATCATAACAACTGTAAACATAAATGCTTAGTAAGTTCCCCAAATACCACATACCACACATACGCCTTTCCAAGCCAAAACTCTATAGGATCTTCCGATCCAAATGTCTCAGGGGAATTATGTCCCGAATCCCGGTAGACCTTCCGGTCTTACCCGTATTGACCTTCCGGCCCATAACCCCTTGACCTTCTGGCCCATATCATCTTGACCTTCCGGTCCTTACCATACATAACATACATATCACATACATATCACGTAACCGCATATAGCACATACATCTCATATCATATAAGACCTCCCGGTCACACATCTCACATAACCACATATAGCATAAACATCATAGAATACTAGACCTTCCGGTCACACATAGGTACCCTTCCAGGTACAGTATAATGAGAAGACTCACCTCAATGAAGTTGGATAATCCCTCGTGCTTGACGTCCCGACTTAGCCTCTTCCTATCATTCAAATAACATCCTGATCAATATTCTCTCATGATCTCATCTCTACAAATTGGGTAGAAGGCCATTCTACCCTTCCCTGAACTCTCTTGAATCAGTCTTGACCAGAACCCTAAAGTCAACGAAAGTCAATGGTCAAACTTTGACCTGACTCGTCGAGTGCACATGGGCGACTCGGCGAGTCCATGTGGGTCTTCTGAATCCTTTTTGCTTCACTTGACTCGTCGAGTCATCATTCCACTCGACGGGTTACACCCGTCACGAATCACAGGGCAACCCCGACTCGACTCGTCGAGTCCACTTATGGACTCGGCGAGTTGCCGCCATGCTCATACTCAAATGACCTTTTGAGGTCAGATCTGTTCCTCTAATCCATAGATCTGACCTTCCCAAGCTCAATAAACATGTAAAGGTTCGATCTTGATACTCATGCAATGTCTAAATAACTCTACTTGATGAAATAGCCATAAATACAACATCCTCAGTCCATTTCTTCCATAACTCATCATAAAGCAAGATGGATAATGTTCTCTAGACCACTATGGGTCCAGATCTGAAGTCTAAACATGATAAGGGACTATATTCCCAACAAATCAACCCAATAAAGGGTATAGAAAACCCTAGATCCATGAATTCTTTAACAAAACAGAAAAGGATCGATATGTTACCTAAAGGATGATGTCCTTTGCTTGAAATCCACAGATATGAAACCCCCTTGGTCTCCTCTAAGCTGTAACCACTTTCTTCTTGCAAAAACAACCCACAAAGGTCAAATAATGGCTTCTTCCCTCACACAACGCTAAAGCACTTCTAGGGTTTCTCTCAAGGGTCTGGTAGCCGCCAATGGTGGCTATAAAGGTCCTTAAATAGGGATCAGGCCCTGAGATTTAGGGTTTCATTTAATAGCGCGGACTCGCCGAGTCCACGCACGGATTCGCCGAGTCCTTCATTAAATCAGACCAAAAGATGCGCGATCCCACTCGACAAGTCTGAGCGCCTACTCGCTGAGTCCCTCTCTAAAATTCAATATAATTACTTAAAATAGGATCCCTGGGAATCCGGATGTTACAATTCTCCCCCACTAGAATCAGACTTTGCCCTCGAAGTCCTTCTCGACAAACAACTCTGGATGTTGCTCCCGCATTTCCAACTCCGGCTCCTGGGTCAGCTCGGACCCTTTCCGATGTTGCCACTGGACCTGCACCAGTGACACCTCCTTGTTCCTCAGAACCTTGATCTTCCGATCCCGGATCGCGAATGGCCTTTCCTCATTATTCAGGCTCGCATCCACCTGAATATCCTCCAGCGGTACCACCGCCGACTCGTCGGCTATACACTTCCTCAACTGAGACACATGGAAGGTATCATGAATCTGGCTCAACTCCACAGGTAGCTCTAACCGATATGCTACCTTTCCCACCCTCGCGGTCACCCTGAATGGACCGATGTACCGAGGCCCCAGCTTGTCCCTTCTCCTGAATCGGATCACTCCCTTCCAAGGAGATACTTTCAGGAGTACGAAGTCCCCCACCTGGAACTCCAGCTCGGATCATCGCCGATCCGCATAAATCTTCTGACGACTCTGAGCCGTCAGTAACCTCTGTCTAACCTGTTGTATCTGCTCTGTCTTCTGAAGCACTATCTCAGTGCTACCCATCACGCGCTGCCCTACCTCTCCCCAGCAAATGGGAGTCCGACACCTCCTCCCATACAACAACTCGAAAGAGGCACGCCAATACTAGAATGGTGGCTTTTGTTGTAGGAAAACTCAGCCAACGGCAGATACGTGTCCCAACTTCCTCCGAAGTTCAACACACATGATCGGAGCATGTCCTCGAGCGTCTGAATCGTCCGCTTACTCTGTCCGTCAGTCTGGGGGTGGTAGGCGGTACTGAAATGCAATCTCGTACCTAACTCCTCGTGGAACTTCTTCCAGAACCTAGAAGTGAAACGTACATCACGATATGACACAATCGAGATCGTTACTCCATGATGCGATACCACCTCCCTCACATACAACTCTGCCAACCTCTCAGCAGAAGAGCTCTCACTGATAGCAAGAAAATGTGCGCTCTTCGTCAGCCGGTCGACGATCACCCAAATTGCATCGACACCCCTCGCGGTCCTCGGCAATTTGGTGATGAAGTCCATGGAAATTTGTTCCCACTTGCACTGGGGAACCTCAAGCGGCTACAACTTGCCATGCAGACGCTGGTGCTCGGCCTTAACCTTGCGACAGGTCAAGCACCTCTCGACAAACCACGCGACATCCCTCTTCATACAAGGCCACCAATAATCTTTCTTCAGGTCCAAATACATCTTCGTGGCCCCGGGATGGATCGAGAACGTCGATCTATGCGCCTCCTCCATCATAATGGTACGTGTCGCGCCTGCATACGGCACCCAAATCCGACCTCGAAAGGTCATCAGTCCTTGACTATCGATAACAATCTCGGAAACTTGCCCGATCACCCGCTCCCTCTTGCGGTTCTCTGGTATCACAGCCTCTGACTGGGCCTCCCGAATGGTGTCCAACACCGGAGTCATCACTTTCAATCTCATACAAGTGCCTCGAATCGGGGCACTCTCCGCCTTGCGGCTCAACGCGTCAGCTACAACATTAGCTTTGCCCGGGTGGTACAGGATCTCACAATCATAATCCTTTACCACACCCAACCATCTCCTCTGGCGCATATTCAGTTTGGGCTGATCCATCAGATACTTCAAACTCTTATGGTCCGTGTATATGGTACACCAAACCCCATACAAATAATGATGCCATATCTTGAGGGCGAACACCACTGCTCCCAACTCCAGATCGTGGGTGGGATACCTCGTCTCATGAGGCTTCAGCTGCCTCGATGCATACGCTATCACATGCCCTCTTTGCATAAGCACCGCACCCAACCCTGATATCGATGCGTCACAATACACTACAAAATCCTCCATCCCTTCCGGGATGGCTAACACAGGGGCTTCGCATAAATTCTGGCGAAGTGTCTCAAACGAGGTCTGCTACTCCGGACCCCATGAAAAAGCAACACCCTTCCGGGTTAACTAGGTGAGAAGCACGGCGATCTTGGAGAAATCTCCGATAGTAGCCAACCAATCCTAGAAAACTCTTGACCTCGGTGGGAGATCTCGGAACCTCCCAACTCATATGTGACAACTTGAAGTTCGTTTCATCAATTGTAATCCTTTTCGTAACCCTTTTGTATTAATCCATTCACCGTTTTCTTTTCGTTTCCGTTTACGTCATTTAATTAAGTCATTAATTTG